GTACTCATGTGCATACAAGAAGACTTCAAAATAATCACCAAGAATGTTGCTTTCTGTGTGTGTATTTATTCTTGTGTTTCTATAGCACTGAGATCGTATAATATTTATGCTCGGTTTTGGTTTTACCTGTTTATACTTTTACTGTGATTTGAGTCATGGTATAAGAGCAAATTGATTTTTCCATTCGACAGTGCATGCACTTTTAGTTTCATGACATTGATTGCAGTACCCACAATGTAATAGCATTCTTTTTACTCCTGTCTTTTGTTGACCGTCTTCCTAGTCCTTTCCTGTCCATTGTTGCCTGTGTGATTTTATGTTATGGATGGTTCTAAGGTGCTATTGTTCACCCTATGAAAATGTCTGTTGTTTGGCTGGAAGCTGAACGATGAGGGTGAGTTCTGGTCTAATTGTGAAGAATGGTTAAGGACCATAATGTCACGGGTTCCTCCAGTCTCCATCAAACCAATAAACCTGGTCGTATATATATACCATTTTGAGTTTTGCTCCACACTTTTTTTCCCACTCCATCTAAGGCCCTCTATTGTGATTTTTTTCAGAGTCGTCGTAGTGCTAGCCAGGTAACCTCTACTTTTTCTGGTCTCAGGGTTGTGGAGACTGAGGTTCATATGACCCATTAGCCTTTGGATTAATTGTTTCCATTCTCTCTGTTTGATTTTCGTCCCTCTTTGCTTCAGATAGGGAGAGACTAATAGTTGCACCTTAGGTGGCCTCTTGCAAGCGTTTTAAATTCCAGTTGCTGCTCACCAAAGTAGGTTGGAAAATATTGTCTTTGTGAACTGTGATACACAATTGACCTCGGTGCTCCCCACAGCTATGGTCCCAAGCCTCCAGGCCCAGTGACTTATTCCCTGCAGATGTTTGAATATGGCTAAGATGACATACCTTTGTCCCCTGTTTGCTCTATTATAAAAATAAGATGTGTTTACAGTACATACAAGCATGTTTGTAGAAATATCATTTGTCCAACTTCTATATGGTTATTAGTATGGTCCCTTTTCCCTACTCATACCTGTTTCTCTTTCCTGTCTGCTTATGTATCCATTTGTAGATTAGTGTTTGTTATTTCTGGTAATGCAGGATTGTGTATGTAGTAGTATATGCACCATATATACTCGAGTATAAGTTGACCCGAATATCAGCCGAGGCACCCAATTTTACCACAAAAACTGCTTTTAAAATGTGCTGGAAAACTCGGCTTATACACGAGTATATACGGTATCTTTAGTTTTTAAAATTCTTGCATTTATCTCCTTGTCTTCCTTTTCTTTAGTGATTTTATGCTGATCACTCCCTTATTGCATATTGCCTTTCCCTTCACCTAAATTGATGTATGCCTAGTATCTAGTTAGTGATTTTCCCTCCTCTTCATTCCTATCCCTCCTAACCATCAATATTTGTGTGTGTGTGTGTGTGTGTGTGTGTACCTTGACTTTATAATAGTGGGCTTATGTAATATTTATCCTTTTGTGACTGATGTATTTCATTTAGCATATGTGGTGTTTTATGGATTCTTCCTTGATATTCCATTTTGTTTAGGTACCATTGTTTGTTTATCTAGTCATCCATGTCATTGCTATAGTGCTGCAGTGAACATGGGTATATGTAAACTTGTGTATGTTCTGACTATTTCTTTAGGATATATACTTAGTAGTGGGAATGCTAGATTCAGTGGTATTTCTATATCCAACTCAAGGACGCCTATACAGTTTTCCCAAAGGTTGTACCATATTACAATCCCAACAGTAGTGCATGAAGGTTCCAGTATCTCCACACCCTCGCCAGCATCTTTTTTTACTCTTTTATTGAACTTTGCTATTGTTGTTAGGATGAGATGATATCTAATAGTTGTTTTGGTTTGTATCTCTAGTGGGGAAAGAGAAGCCTGGTAGTGTGGTGATTACACATTGGACTGTGAGCCACAAGGTTGACAGTTCAAAACCATCAGCCACTCTGGGAGAAGATGGGGCTTTTTATTCCCATAGACAGTTATGGTCTCAGATATCCTGTCATTATCAGCATTGACTTGATGGCAGTGAGTTGGTTTTTCCTTAATGGGTAAAGAGAGTGAACATTTCTTCATGGTGTTTGTAAGCCACTCGAATGTCTTTGGTAAAGCGTCTGTTCTTGTCTTCATCCCATTTTAATTTTTTTATTTTCAGCCCGGTTTAAAATTACATTGTTGTCTTCTTGGTATTGAGAAATTGAAGTTTTCTATAAAAATTTCAGATTAGTCCCTTGTTGGATATGTCATTGCCAAATGTTTCCCCAATCTTGGGTGTTACTTGCTGTTGGGTTTGCCCTCACTCACAGCGACTCTTCTGTACAACAGAATGAAACACTGTACGGTTCTGTGCCCTCCCCACAGTGGGCATGTTCAAGACCATGATTGCAGCTACGGTGTCAGTCCAT